GAGAAATAGATATAATATTAATGACTGGTATTTTTACATCCTTAAATTTAAAATGAAACCATATTATTTAAACTAGCTGATATAGTGGGAGTGTATATCGAATACACTCTTATTATCCATAAAAGATTTACGACTAATATGAATTCATCAATCTTTTTATTATCCATTGACCCTTTCGATAAGTCTATGTACAAAAAATGTATTTAAAAATTGTCTTACATTGAATGTATTGTAAATTTATCGGTAAAATTAAATACATTTTTTTTTATATAGGTACATTTTTAATAAATATATAGTCATTAAACACAATTATAATAGTAAATAGTTAAAAGAACAACTAAAACTACAATGTATTATACTTTATAAAATGTATCAATTAAGAATTCATATTATATGCACGCATATATATTACTAACATATTTTTTTAGTTTTCAATATTAAAATGCTCATATTTTTTTAAAGATTCAGAAATATCTATGTACTTCAAATTTTCAAAATTGAAATACGTGTAAATAATATTTACAATTTATATGTATGTACAATAAAACAATGTCATTACTATATTGTACGAATAATATAATATGATGTTCATACAGATGCACTATTTCGCGATTAAAAATGTTATTTTGCACCAGCGAGTATAACTTCTTCTTTAATGTATAAATATAAAAATTGAATACGAATACTGGTATTTGAAATCGAAGATATGATAAACCGTTGGTCGATAAATCATGTCCACTAGACATTGGATCCATTTGTCTTAAGAACCGATGACTTTTCGGCGTGAAATGTCGAGGGAAATTTAAACTAATGCCCCATTTTCTTTTCTTTCTTTTACTTTGTTATTTTTATTTTACTCGAGAGCGATAAATTTCTATGCCAGTCACTTTCAGTATGGACCGTATACTCTGACTAAGAAAATCTGTCGGATTTACGTTGATCTAGTTATGTTGAACCAAAAACTTTACTGATAACGTCTGTTTCGAACTTTCACCGGTATTGAAGTTTCCTGCCAAGGTTTCTGGTTCACGAAGAGTTTTCGGAAAAGCTTATTATTTCTCGTTTTGGAGCCAAGTTAAAAGATCCGTCGAAGTGTACAATGCACTAACTTAATCCCCTCCCACTGACCCCTCACAAAAGCACCCTAATTGCTAATCAACCATGTGGACACCTCGTAAATCCCAGTGAATCCTTTTTTAATAAGAACAACAACTGCCATACCCTCTTATTTGCTCTAATTAATTGAGAGATTTTATAGTTTTTTTCTCTAGTTGTTATTGACCGCGACCAAATTGAATGTTTAGCCAGGTGTTGTCGCAATGCGGGTAAGCGCAATAATATAGAGCCATACCGCCACCGATAATCCTCTTAGTTCGTTTCCACCTCCTCTGAGTTTTTATGGACAAAGAAGCCGTAAAAACCACGAGTAATCGGCCATTTGACCGCAGATGTTCTGTTGATAATAACCAATGTGTTGTACGAGGTTATATTGCTTCTAATAAAATAAATAAAGTTTAAAACTTTCACTCTACACTTGTTGTTATACGGCTTGGTTATGTACAACTATATGGATCGATAGGTATATTGGAAATCTCGGCTAATCATTAAAGATGTACATATTATAATCCTTTTACTTACCTATTTTGCACTCCTCTCGATTAGTGGTTTCATTGCCATTCGTTTGAATTGTAGTTCAGTGACAAATATTATACTACAATTGGAATATACGTAGTACGAGCTTATTCTAATAAATACTGTACTTATTGTTTTCTCGTAATGTTAATGTGTATTGATGTGCGCGCAGTGCAACGCATATTCCGTTTGAAATAAATACCTCCCCCTCTCGCTATCTTGAAAGAATTCACCAATAAAAAAAAACCTACAAAGTATCCAATTATAAAATAATATATGTGATGATTTAAAAGAACGCAACTTACATATGTGTATTAAACATTATTTCAACTATATAAAATATTTATCTGCATTGCAATAATCGGCAATATACTCTGATTTCGAAATATGTATAAGTATTTATGGTTACTACATTCATAAAAATAATTAAATCGTTTTTACGTTAAAGTATTTATTATAATAATAATATACGTCAAGAATAACGCTATTGAATAAACGCATTCGTTTGTATAATGTGTTATAAGTTATAACTTATAACTTATGCAACTAATATAACTGGTAGAAGTATAAATTTATATATTTATGTATATAGATTTTGAGTGTAATCAAATAATTTCATAAGGTTTTCAGTTATAATGGCTTTCAGTTATTGTGAATTTATCAGCACTAAAAACAAAAACAGCAAATAAAATATATTTTTATAGGGACACTAAGTCGATAAAAAAAAAAAAAAGAAAGACCATTTGTTTTACTCTACGAGTATCTGGCTGTCGGCAATAAGAGGACCCTATCCCATTCGATGAATACTGTAAGAATCTATACGGTTAGCGTTTCTATTGGATGGAAAGTATGGCTCTTATAATCAGTAAAGAAACAGTTATATAGTCGTGAATAATTCCAGGCTCGGCGCTTTAGTAATACCCCTGTACATTATCTTGGAACCCTTAACCCAAAGACCGATTTGATTGCATCGTGAACACGGGTAATCACTTCCCGAAAGGTCTTCCCCCATACATATATAAAAACAAAGAAACGCTTTCAATTGGATTAAACCCAGTTTAATGTACCATATCCTTAAAAACATCGACAATCGTCGAGCGTATTCCTCACTAGATGACTCATTATCGCGGGTATGTAGTCTGGACAGAATTGAAATAGTTTTTTTTTGTTTATGGAAATAATTATCTAAACACTTATGATTAAATAGTGAATGTTTATAATTCTAAAATGAGAATTTAGCAATAAACTATATAACTATAAAAACAATAAGACCTAATGAAAGAAAAAAATTATTTACCACAAACCTAACATTAAGAACGCAATTAAACCGTATGAATTAATGTTTAAACACTCGTTTGGCCATTATTCAATTTACGATCGACTTTGACAAAAAAGTATTTACAATTTGCTAAAAATAATTTTCAAACCGAACGAGACGCATAGTTCATAAAGTTCTTTGGTACGTTTTTATTTGAACAATCTGAAAACAAGTGAAGTTGTCAAGTTTTAAAGAATAAAAGTGGCACGCAAGTACCTATACACCATCAATGGTATCGCCGTACTACCAATGGACATAAATAATACAAGTGGCCAACTCTGTTGCGAAGCTGTTCTGCAAAAGAAAACCAAAACTGTTCGCCTAAGCGAACTGGTGGTTGAGTATTTCCGTTGGTCTTGTTCGTTTCAATCGCGAGAGGAAGTCAAATGTGATGTACGAAAAACAGAGAGAAAAAAATAAATAGAAACGTGTTGGAACACACGCGTGCATAACTTAGCGGTGCAACAAAGGTAGACGACGCCCATTACGCGCAGTCGTCTTGGCGACGGGTATTTAGATACGTATCGCGTCGACCGAAGAGCAACGGCGGCGGCGCACAATTTATACGACCAGTCGCCCGATAACTACGCGGACTCGTCGTCGACGGACGTATTTTGTTCGTTACGCGGTCCTGCTGTCCCGTCTCGTAGATCTCGCATTATCGGCCTTGAGATCATTTCCGAACGATTTGCAATTCAAACGCTTACAAACTAGCGCACACGCGTCGTGTTTACCGCAACAGTCGGGAGTCGAGAATACCCCCCTCCTCCCGACCATCCTGCGATCGTTTAGGGTCGTTGTCGTGATTTCGATGAAACGCGAGATCAATGGTATGAAGTATAAATTTGAAAACAAACGTCATATAAGTGATTACAACGTTTTGGCAGCAACGAAGTTAGACCATCACGGTCGAAATAATCTCATATCTTTGAATCGATGAAATGATTTATTTCATTTTTTTCTACGTCCATTCATACACACATGTGTAAACGAATACGACCAAGTGCGACGCAACGGCTCCCTAAAACACCATGCAACACCACTGTCCGTGTTTTTCAGGGTTTTTTTCAAGGTTTTCCACGGTTCACTCATCTTCTTGCGTCCTCCTGCGTTCCGCTTGATCACGTCGTTCGCGCACATTCAACGGAATAACAATCATAATCGAACAAACTAATAACGGCCAAACGTGTCAATGGCGGTCGGGTCTTAGGTGTACATTGTTTTGTATTTCATGCAGGCGGACGTTATCGAGAAGGCGTGTTAAAATGTTTTCGCATTAAAATTAGAATCCCGGGCCGGCCGCGTGCGATACACGTACAGTGTTTAATGAACTGCCCGGGATCAATGACGTTTTATTAGTGGTATTCTTCTAGTGGTGAGAGGTGGGGATGGGGGTAGAAGGCAAAAATGACCGCTAAAATCTGACGGGTCGATGATTAATAGAGGTCCGTCGATCGTTGTTTTCGGAAAAGCGTGCAGCTACCGCCGCCCGGTCCGCTGCTGCACTGTACACGTAGATGAGTTTGCAGAGTATGCGTTTTATGTTGTCGTCCGACCGTTAACTCGTATTGTACAGCACTCGAACGCGGTACGCACACACGACTTTAGCAATTGGTCAACGTCAACTCATCGTACGCGCAATTCACCCGGCCCTGTGCGCGGTAACAACACATACGGACTATAAAAATCGACCGAGTGCGAGTGACGTTTGTGTCAATACGTTCTCCGGGTGTTATCGCGCAGACGGTAATAACAATTTAATAACCGAGTCTATTAGTTACATGCACTCCTTTACGCGCGAAAACGTCTATGCGTGCGCGCGTTAATGTGAGCGGAGGAGAAAAAATAGGCGTGAGAGACAACTGCGGCGAGGACGATGAGAGGTGCGCGTGCATGATGGATTCTTTTACGCGCCGGGGCCGCGAGTACATTATTCATGCCGGTGACGCGAGATAACAATTGGAAAAGAAAATGTCGTGTTGCTGTTTTTTTTTTTTTTTTGTGACCGTGCACGCGCATGAAAATAATATCGTCGGTTTTATGTTTTCAGGCGATTAAACGGCAACGAGCTCACCGAGGTTCCCGATTTGGCGTTCTCCGGCAACGCGCAACTCTCGAGGCTGTAAGTATATTTCATCATAATTCGCCCGTTGAGTACTCAATACGATATATGTACAAGTAACCGTGTACCACGCGCACGATATGCGCGTTCTAGGTTTGCAAAATGATATCAACGGATCGTCTCCGACCAACGCATTATCCGTGTCTTACGCGCTTTCAATAAACATAACTACTATCCGTACACGTTTTTTCGATGTGTGCATGATACGTATGGATGATTTCGAGTTGACCAATTCAAGTACATTGTTTTCGATATTTATGCGATGTCGCGATCCGAACGCGCGTACCCGTCTGTTGTGTGTTTATACTGTATCAGACTGTTTACCAACATACGCGTTGTGCAGAAACTTTAGTTCTTGTACGTTTATATATTACAAAGAAATCGATAAAAAATAATGGTCTCGTTTCACTGTATATCCGCCGTGCGCACTATACGAGTCTGCGTAAGCGCCGCAGACCACATGTCAATAAAAATAAATAACCGTTTGGTATATTGTACGTTGTTTTCGGGGAGGAGGGGGCGTCCGAAACGGGAAAAAAATAGTTTTTCCTCCCGCGCGGACGGCAGGGCTGCGGCAGCTAGTCTCCGAAACGTACAGTCTCGCTGGCACTGCGATGTCAAATTATTCGCAAAAGGGGTCGATATTGACGCGCAGGAAATTCCTCGACGACCGCTGATTATTCACGGGCCCCCGGACTCCGGTTATTGATATTTCATCCGTGAAATTGGATTATGCGTGTATCCTCGCCGCTGGTCTTTGTTCGTTGATTAATTACCCGCGGGCAGGGATTCATCTTCCTCCGTCTACCGCTCCTCGTGTCTTCCGGGATTCCTACGTGGTTCGTTGCAACTCCATCCGACCACCCCACGTGCAGTAACCGTCTACGCACCCTGATCCCTGAAAACGTGCATTACGCGTAAAGATCATAATCTGTCGATTTAAATGCTATTTGATTCTTTTGATTGCAATAAAATGCATTATATTATATAACTGATTTACATCAAAAGCGTACACTAGTATATCGTATGGCTATACGAAGAGAAAAAACGTTCACCGACGAAACTCGTTAAAACACATAAAAACAAATTGTTTAACGTTGTGTTTTATTTATTTGAACTATTTATATTTATTTTTTTTCACAAAACCGCATGTTGAATTTTTTATTTTTTTATATATATATATATTTTAAAATCGACGAGAAAAAGTAACGCATACGGTCTATGTTATAAAACATACTGAATTTTAGTTGGTCATAAAAATGTTTGTGTTTATTAGGTATATATCTTTTTTTTTTGTTTCGTCAATTTTTTTGATACATAGTTAAAAACTTATTTGCGCGTTTAACTTTTTAAAATAATAACATACCGACAAATAGAAATAAAAAAGTTTTCGAATAAATTTGAATAATTTTTAGTATCTCTATCTATAATGAACATATCTGATAAATGTTGTTTGTACGTCAATGTTTAGAGTTTTTTTTTCATTTCATAACCCAAAGTTAAGTAGGTTGTTTTCATTTAATAAAGATTTTGAATGTCTATTTACTATCAAATTTGCATAAAAAACAGCTCAAATCCATTTGACTCTACAGTTATATACTCGTAAATTTCAGTTTTTTCGCAATAATTATTTGATTTTGAATTTCCTGTGGATGGCATGTTAGCTGTTAATTTAATCGAACGATAATCAATCGACATGTCTATGTACTGAGACGAAATAAGAAAACTTTATCACAAACACAACGCTTGTCACGTCAAAAGCGCCACAGGTTATTTCCAGAAACGAAAGTTTGCTCTTACAATACTGAGAGCAAATTTCACAGTTTTCAACTATAAATGAACATTGTGTGTGTGTGTGTGTGTGTGTGTGTGTGTATACCTCTTATTCCCTCTCCCGGGATGAATTCGATCGAGAATGCGTCTAAGAAACGTGTACCTTCTTCTCTTTCCCCTCCGTGTTCTAACTGCAGCACATAAAAAGAAGTGTTGACACTAACTTATTCTCCCCTCCATTTGGTACAAAGTACTTGGAACTTTGGAAACACCCCGGGCAAGCTTCGAATAAAATAAACCTAATTTGTTACTGAATCTCACAAATCGCCCGTTTCGAATCCCGCGACTCGCATATAAACTAATTACATTCGAATTATGGTAATGCATCAATGGGGGCGATATAACAAGAAAAAAAAACCTGTCCGTTTCCATTATATCTGTATAATCTAATATGGTAAATATGGAGATAACGTACAAGACCATTGAAATTGTTCAAGACTTTCAATTGTTCAAAAAGAAGCTACACATTGTATGTAATAGCAAATATATATATATTATACAAATAAATGCGAAATGTGTATATATTAATTGCTTACAATTAAGCGGATATTATCAATAATTATTGTCGGTAATGTGTCGTAGAAGCTTTTGGGAGCAGTACAATATCTGAGACTTTCCTAATGAATCGAATAGTTAAATCATCAGTTTTACTTTCTCACAATAGGACAATATGCGTAAACCTTACGTACTCTTTTTTTTATTATATACACACACAATATGAATATTGGCACATCAGTCTGTGTAGACAATTCTCCATGGTATTTTCAAACAATTATACGATAGTTTCATTGTAGTAATCAACTCAGTTATACAACTGTTTTATTTTTCCAAGTTTCCTTAGGTCTTTGATTTATTTTACAACGTTTGATAAATAAATTTGTAACATTGTCATGAACGATTCGAAATATCTTCCAAAAATAAAATACTTAAGTTTCATATTATGTAGAATATGTTCAAAGAAACGCACACGTACAATATTTATAGTATTATTTTTAAATGAAATTTAATCATATATTCTATTTATTATTCCATTATAAATGATGAGTTTTTTTTCTACAAGTGAGTGCTATTAGTTTGACCAACAAAAGTTTAAACCATTTTACCTGTTTTTCTTAGTAAAATGAGAAATAAAATAAGTCGTTTCTGTATCAATTATATCGTATGTATCTTATATATAAGAAAAATGTTTTAAAATGTCAATCCAATTTTATTTAAAAACATTAAGAAAAAGCTAGTTTTATTAATTTAGTATAACACTTTTTTGCTTTAAAGCGTTACTTCTTGAATGATTTTTATTTGTATAGTTAATGTAAATTAAAATTAAATAACCCGTTCATTAATTTGGAAAAAAATTGATGCCAAGTGAATTAACTACATTTTAAGCGGAAATTCATTTGTTATTTGCGATAATGTAAATTTTTAATTAAATAAAAAAATACATTCCTCATTTCCCTCAGAATTTACTGCATTTGCTTAAATAATTATTACTACATTTATTAACTATATAAATATCTCGGCATGACATTGAATTTGATAATTCTCAAGTATATACACTATTGTGGATAATTCAACCCGCAATTAAATCGCCTAGTTTTAAATATTTTATGTAATTTGTATATTATACAACATAAATATACACGTGCCTACAAGTATACCAAGGATATTTGGTTTCGTTAATAGTTTACCATCTCATACACAGCTAATACGTTTTAAATTGACGGTTGTGTATGTTAATTGATATATATTTACGTATGCACACTGCACACTGATCGTTGACCGATTGGTTATAGTTGTGTTTATTATTCAGCTCCGTTTACGAAGAATGCGTGTGGCCTTATAAATAATATATCATATGCATCTGGTAGTGAGCAATCGGACAGAATGCGTAAAATATTCAATTGAAAAAGAAAAAAGGAGAATCTAAAGGTCGTAAGCGTGCGCGTCTAGACCCTAAAGCGGGTGAAGCTGTGAATGTGAAATACGTAGTGCAATCAAAACGAAATTTTCGTCTGCCACCCGACGATGACAGCGACGACGGTGACGATAAGGACGAGGGAACAAAAAAAAAAAGAGAAAAAAGGGTTTTTATTTTACGTGACCGGATTAAAACCTATTTGGGTGGACAATGGGCCGTCATTCTTATCACGTAACGCTTTTTGTAAATGGCGTCTTAAATGGACCTACAGACGGATTAATTTCCTACGAAAACCGCAGTGTGTCTAGGGAAATAATTTCGACGAGTAAAAGAGTTTTCCAGCTTAACGGGCTCATGTATACATGTGTGGCGTATGTGTTTCAAACATAAGCGGCTCTCCAAGTCAACGCCATCCCATCCAATTGGTGTTCAACCCTAAATGCAGCAAAGAAATATTATTTCGAATTAATTTGTAAAGTTACACGCTTGAATGTAAAAGTGTCATCTTAAAAACGAAATCGTTCGGATTCGATTATAAAAACAGTTGAAACTATTTAGAAATAATTATTCTACTGTTCCACTTAGTTCTTTAGACAATTGAAATTTAATTCGTGAGTACATTATATGTTGTGTATAGTATTTATTCGTTCAAACTATTAAATTAAATATCACATTATAATTATCAACGTTTGGTAAAAAATACATTAACAAAATATATTGAAATTTAGAACATTGACAGTTCGTTTAGTTTAAAGTATACAGGACAGTTAATATTTGTTGTTTATTTACCTTAACTATTGTATTTACATAGTGATAAATAGTACAGAGAGCGTTGCTAAGTCAAAAATTCAGAATAAAAATCACTTAAACACCGAACGTTTTCTCATAAAGTTGTTCGACTAATTAATTTTTTAATCTAGATTGACGTGTGCAAATAATAAAAACGTATTGCGGGAGAAATTCATCGGAAGCTGTTAATTAGCAGATAACTAGTTCATAAGTTTGATAAAGGGCTAATTTTTTATTATTTAAACAAGCTTTGTGGTATATGGGTTAATTAATGTTTTGAATTAAACAAAATTCCTACAAAGGAAGACCATTCCATTAGAGACGTTGTCGTCAGAATGGGGGAGAAAAGTCGTTGTCGAGTCTGTCATTGGCAATACGGGCAGTCAACATGAAATCCAATTAATTCAACGTCTTCCTGAATCCATTAAAAATCAAAAGTCTAAACGCAAAATAAGAATATAATATTGAAAAAACTTATCAGCCGAACATTTTTCGAATTTATTAAAATACCAACTTTATAATTCATAGTAAATAGAAGTTAAATAATGAATATTTTCATCGAAACACGCAAATCCGCTCTGTTGTTCATTATCGATTGAAAAGGGTGATGATTATAATGAAGGTGATTTTGGATTCACGAAATATTTTGTGGGGATATGCATGGGAAAACGGTAAATGGGTTACCAGGTGTCAGCTACGTAGGGGGATTCCGCGATAAATGAAAAAAATCGAATCATAAAATATTAATGGATCGAAAGCTTTTTGTTCCTGTCGCGTACGCCTGATACTACGTATACTTCGTACAGGGGAAAATTGTTTTTTAGTCTACAATGTACCCAGAGTGTTATAAATATAAATTAAAAAAAAACCCAATTTAATGTCATATAAAGGGTTGATATTAATTGTAACAATATGGTTTTATTGACTGCAGAGTTGATTTTTTTACTATACAATCAACTGTCGTTCGTACTAAATATTACTCTGTTGATATCAATAATTTAGTTTAGATATATTTCAAAAAAATAACAACTAATATGTCAATAGATTTTTTATTATTTAATTTCAATCGTAATAAAAAAAAAAAAAAAAGAATAAATTATTTTCTAAAATATTAATATGAACTACAACAATGGTCAACATTTTTCGAAAACATAACTGTATCTTTGAATTTCTATAATAAATAGGTTTCTTTATTATTATAAATTATAATATAACACACAAAATGTTTATTTCACTATTATTGATTTTATTATATAAATGTATGCATAATAATAATGTTGGTTATAGTAATATCCGACATGCATACATGAACGTTACTCAGTAATTCCGTTACTGTGCAAATACATGAAAAAATAAAATGTTAAATGTTCCTAATGTTTCAGCTATAACTTTATAGTTTCTAAACCATAAATAACCTAGTGCAAATAATAGTTTATAACACACACACACACATATATATATATCATGGTAATATACATATTAAACAGCTTCAATAAAACATCAAAACGTGTAATACTATTACCACTACGTTCGTACCCTATGTTCGACCCATTTACCTTATATGCCCTTATACAACCCCTATCTTTCATATGTGTTTTCCCGTACAACACAAGGATTGCTTTTTTTTTTTTTACTACCAAGTTCTTCATCAAAACGATCGTGCCTGCCCTCTTTCTCTTCAACCGTTTCCGTTGCGATTTGTATTCCCCAAGAACCCACCGCTGCGACTGTTTTCACACCGCTCCTTTGGGGTGTGAATGATTGCCCCCGTGCACACAATCAAGAAACTGTTGATTCCTACTGTAAGCATATACTGCACCCTCGTACAGGGATCAGATATGTATAATGTACTTTCGTCTTGATTATGCTCGTCGGGCGCTTTCCAATTTCCCAATGAGTCATACGGGTGAAAGCGTTTCCGGAAAATTGATACACGAGAACCCCATCATGCCTGCAAGGGCTACGGTGAGTGAGCTAGTGAGACGACATCTCGGTGTGCGGGGGTAGAACCAATAATAATAGTGCTGGGCAATGGTCCGGAATTTCCATATGAAAGTACGGCGGTCCTTCGCTGCGGGGGTGTGACGGATAGGATTGTAGTCATCGTGTGCAATATACCGAGAACCCCAAACATTGGCTATAGGGAGTTGTTCATCTGATAAAAAGGTATTTTGATAATATATTTAAAAAATAAATAATAATATTCAAATAGGATGACAAGCTCGACGGGAAGTGTAAACAAAATTCCAATATTAAATCACAATAGTATTTATTATTATTTGTGTTTAATAGTATATTAACGTCATTGAAAGCCAGACATATTTGGTTAGAAAAGAAAAGAAAAACCCATAAAAATGTAATCACGTCTAAAACGAAAAAATACTTCGTACATTGTCTTATATCATATATTCGAACATTTAACGATTTATTTATACCTACTCTTATGATATATAATATATTTATACTGTAACTAAAAAACAGACTAGGTGATTATAGGAAGCTCTCTGTTAGTACTTAGTTAAATTTGATTTTTACCATTAATTTTTATTTATGAATTTATATAGATTTTAAAATGTTTTCTTTTTTATTTGACTGTTGTATATTTGGTTTTTTTTGTTCGCTTTTTATTCTAAATCCCCTATAAACTTCATTTAACTTTTATGGTGAATCGTATTTCTTATCTATAACTATCTGTTAGTAGAAATTATTTCTGTTTAGTTCTATTTATTCCCTCTGCCATAGTACTATTATGAGAACAACGCAATAACCTTTTTGCGTAAAAGCATCCCGTTAAAAACAAAAACAAAACAACCCGTTTGCGCATATTCTTTCAATGCGTTCGAATACAACTTTGACTTTAAAGGGTAATCTTGTCTTAATTATTGTCTATAAAAATAAATACATTTTATATAGAAAAATAATTTAAATGTAAATAAGTTTAAAAAAATTAAATTTAATAATCATTAAAAAAATGTAAATTTATATTCAATCTTCTTTAAATATTCATATCGAGAGACGCGTATAACAAAATTGAATATAAACTCAATATTTCGAGCGTTCTCGTTGATAAATATTTTTAATTATATTTTGTCTTGTTTTTAAAATGTATTACTGGTTACTGAATTGCAGCGTTTTGGGGGTAGGTTATATGTGATAATTAAAGACCGGATATAATTGCGTTAAAAATATCTTAAAATTGTACTAAAAAGATGCCAAAATTGTAATGAAAAATACATTAAAATTACATAGTAAAATCATATAAGACATTTAATCATTAATTACTTACATAAATAAAATTATGGACATCAATATAATATTTACAAAATATATAATTTTTCCCAATTAAGATTTATAATTATATACACCTCTAAATTATGTTCTTGAAAATTGTATCGTCTATTACTTAAAACATGTTTATGTAATGAAAAAGTATCTTCGACATCTACATTTGTTATCGGTACATATTTAAAATAATTAAAAAAATTTGGTCTTTTATCTAAATTAACATTATAATTTCCTGTCATAAACTCAGAGTAAGTTTTAATAATTTTACATCTTACATTTTTTTTAAGACATATTTTAATTCATCTTTAACTATTTTCCCATTGGGACCGGAAATATTTATCAAAATATTTTCAATTTCACTAAATATGTTTACACTATTAAGTTATTGGCTATTCGATTCTTTTAAAGTTGTGGATGACTTAAATAAATATTATTTTAAAAATGCGAAATTACATTCAAACTAAATGTAAATATTTACGTCGTTGTTATATTTTATTGTAAAATTACTTTAGAAATAATAATTTGTATATTTTATCACGTGAAGTATACGAAAGTTGCAATAATTCCTTAACCATAGAAAATTGCAAAAAATTGCATTATTAAATTAAATAGATATAATGAAGTTAATTCATGGCCGTATTCAGGGGGGAGGGTTTTCCGGGTTCAAACCCTCCCCAAAATTTGTTCAACATTTTTTTTTTGCCTATTCACTTGATGTTTTTTTTCTGTATTCAATTGAAATTCAATAGAAAAGTGTTTCTTAATCCATCGTCTAAGTCGCACATAAGGTAAATTATTATCCCAGACGTATTATTATTGTGTAAATAAAATAGAATTGTCTACGAGAATGTCTACGCGCAAAAATTGAATTTAAAACAATGCACTGCTTTACGACGGGTAAAACTCTGTATACAATGAGATAAGATCACGACTGACGTTATCGTTGTCGCCTGCCCATAGCTTTGGCTGTTCATATGGACGCACCAGAGTATTTACGTAGTTATTTTTAGTATTCTTCAAATTTTGATAGTGTACATACCTTATTAGAATAATCGTCGATGTTTAATTTCAACTCGAATAGAACTAATTCGGATAACCGATTACCGAATCATTTTTCTTTTGGATTCTCGTCATACAACACACCATGGCGGTGCGCCGTAAACATTGCTGTTAAACGTTTCTATTGATCTGAATTCCGTAAGTATATTTACTACCATTTTTTATTTAATAGTTTTAGAGTTATATTATTTATAAAATATCATAGCTCATTTATTTTATACCAGTTTATATGTTGGACAGTTAATGTAAATATGTACCTGCATAGTCTCTATATTATAGATATCAGTGGTGTTTATTCAGTGTGCAAGTTATGCATTAACGCCCAACTTTAATTATACATATTATCATTTATCAATCCTATTTATTTTAATATTTTATTTTATTTATTTATTTTATTTTGATATGTATAATATTATGTAGCACATCTTGTAATTATTGTAATTTTTCGTGTAAGAAAATTAATGTCACAAAAAAATTACTTTTATAAAATGTCTTCATTTATCTTATTCATCAATATACAATTTAAGTGGCATTTAGGTTAATTTTAGACATTTTAAATAGATATTTCCTAAATAAAATTTTTAGTTATAACAGCTCCAAAATATCTATAAACACGGGCGAATTCTCACTTATGCACAATATGTTTATTTTTAGAATTAATACACAAAAATTAAATACCGAAAATGAAACGAGTTCAAAGACAATTGGACATCACTGCATTTACACAAATAAAAAAAGATAAGACAAACAATCCAAATTCTGAATTTCAACCAGTTGAACCTACTAATATTAATTATTCGAATAAAGATGTTTCTATTGAACAAGCTTACTTAGAAGAACTTCCCTCAGTTAGCAAAAATAGTACTGATATTCACAACCTTACTTCAATGCATAGCAATTATACTCCTTCTGTTTCTACCATGTCCAATAATTTTACTAAAACACCCATAGTTGGAGTAAATGATATTGGTAATTATGTCCATAATTTAGAAATTAACGATTTAAAAAAAGAGGAACTCTTAAAAACTCCGTGGGTTCCTTCTTCAACATATATTTTCCCTGTAAAAACCAAAAGAAATATACGATTTCAATTATCTTGGATAAAACGATTTCCATGGCTTAGTTATTCACAATTATTTGAAGGAGCATTTTGTAGACTATGTGTTTTGTTTGCTCGAGAAAAAGGAGGTAATGGTAGCCATCAAAAATTAGGTGCACTTGTTTCTAAAGAGTATACTAATTGGAAAAATGCTTTGCAAGACTTTCAATTACATGCTACCACATCTTATCACAAATTGTGTGTCGAGAAATCTGATAGTTTTTTAAAAGTGAATGAAGGAATATCTAAAAATATAACTGAACAACTCAGTATTGAACGTTCTAGACAGATTGAACAAAATAGAAAAATTTTACTTTCTATTATAAAAACCATAATTCTTTGTAGTAGGCAAGAAATTGCTTTTCGTGGATCAAACAATTATGGAAATGTAATGAACATAAATGATTTTAATGACGGAAATTTTAGAGCTCTTTTACGGTTTCGTGTAGCTTCAGGTGACACTATGCTAGGAGAACATTTGAAAAATGGTCCAAGAAATTCTTTATATACTAGTCCTGGTATTCAAAATTACATAATTTCTATTTGTGGTGAAATAATCAAGTCAAAAATTGTCCAAATAGTAAATGCTGCCGAGTGCTTTTCTGTGTTAGCGGACGAAACTAGAGATATTGGAAGAATTGAACAAATGTCTGTATGTTTGCGTTATTATGACCAAAAAGATAAAAAAATTCGAGAAGATTTTTTAGAATTTACACCGGCTGTTGATCGTAGTGGAAAAGGACTAGCAACTTTGATAATGGGGTGTTTACAGAAGAACAGTATACATTGTCAATTTTTAGTTGGACAAGGTTACGATGGAGCCTCTGCCATGAGTGGATATTTACATGGTGCTCAAGAATACATAAAAAAAGATTTTCCCATGGCACTTTATGTACATTCCAGTGCTCACTCGCTCAATCTAGCGTTGGCCAACGCCTGTTCATTGCCCTCAATAAGAAACTGTATTAGCACCATTCAAACTGTTGGAACATTTTTTCGCTCATCGGCTCAAAGAAGTGAATTATTGAGAACAACTATTATCGAAACTCTTTCAGAGACAAGGCATACCACATTAGTTGCATTATGTGAAACTCGTTGGGTTTATAAGCATGAAAGTGTCATGCGGTTCAAAGAACTATATCCCGCTATTATTGTTGCATTGGAAAAATTGGAGTCATCAATAAATAAAGAAACTGCTCAAAAGTCTTGTCATTTATTAATCACAATTAAAGACGCTAAATTTGTTATACCTCTCGTAATAATTGAAAATATTTTTTCGTATACATTGACATTGTGTAAACAGCTACAGACAATTAATGCTGATTTAGTTGAAGCATGCAATCATGTTGATGATGTGTTAGCCGTATTAGACGAAATGAGAGAAAATAACAAACAACATTTTTCAGACCTGTTTTCTGTTGTTGCCATCATGTTGAATAAAAATAAAGAAGACATTGTTTTGCCTCGTATCGCTAATAAACAAACACACCGTAGTAATGTGTTTTCTCATAGCTCTGAAGAGTATTACAATTTTAATATTTTTTTGCCATTTCTCGACTATATCAGATCACAGCTTTGTGATAGATTTCAAAAACACAAATCTTTAATAAGTTCATTACAACAAATCATTCCAAGTAAATGTATAATCGCTACCAATGAAGAAATAAACGATTGTGTAAACTTTTATTCTCAGATATTGATTGAGCCTAATGCTTTCAAAGCTGAATTTGCAATGTGGAAGACAAAGTGGCTAAAAGAAGGATCTCGCCCAAAAACAGCAATTGCAGGACTTGACAATTGTAACCCTCTTTTATTTCCTAACATAAGGAAACTTCTACAAGTCTTAGTTACTATGCCTATGTCAACAGCGACACCAGAAAGAACATTTTCATCTTTAAAAAGATTGAAAACGTATCTCAGAAATTCGACTGGTGAAACACGCCTCAATGGATTGGCTTTAATGTCAGTTCACCGGGACATCAATGTTGATCCAGAAGAGGTACTTACTCAGTTTTCAAAATCATCAAGAAAAATAATGTTACTTTAAAATTAATAATCCTATAAATTGTCAAATTAAAAAATGTAAGTTACATGTTTTAATAATTATTAAATATACTTACTCTAATTATAATTATATAACTATAAAAATATTTACATGTAAAATGTGGTTGTCAATTGAAATACCTTACGAGTAGTAAGTATTAAAGCAGAATGTATATTATATAATATGGTGAATAATATAAGTACATTTTTAAACCTAAAAACTAATATGGTTTGAATTGGTTAAAATTCTAAAAATCATGTTCTAGTTTCATCTTAAATTGAAAACCCCCCCCAAAAATAATGGCTGGATACGGCCATGAGTTAATTTGATTCGTATACATATTTGATCAGATTTGATTTACCTGATACTAATAAAAAGTTGCAACATCTATTAAATCCGGTCTTTAGTGATAATGTTTGCCCCCATCCCTCGAACTTATTATAATCGACAAACGCGGTACATTTCGGGTTTTGATTTACGGTCAACAACCATGGATGATAATCGTTATTAGCGTAAGAAACGAATATACCTCGTCGACCGCGGTCGGTTGGCCGTGCAGTTACGGGTTTGAACCAGTCGGGGGATTCGAAAAATATCAAAAACATTTATTATCAACACATCGTTCATACCGTGTGTACAACGTAGTGGTCGCTTTTCAACGTAGTCGGTCTTGTAAGTCGTAGGTGTCCGGGTGATTTGTGTGCGTATCACATGCGGTGAAATAAAGGTGCGCGCGGAAGAAGTTGAATCTGAGGGGCGCAGGATTGTGTTCGAACACGCGTTTATGTTGCTCGCAGGACGTCGTTTACGGAAATAGGCATTGGTGTACAATAATATTATACGTGTGTGGTCGGGTTGTGTCTTCCTGTGGCAATGTTCCATCGCGCGACCGCGTTTTCCGCTCCGGTCCGTCGACCCGTGACCTAGGACAACAACTCCATTAGCGTCGCGTCCTTACGCACACCATTGTCTTACGACGTTAAATATCTCGTCGGTTCGTACGATACATCGTCTTTGTCGTGACCCGAAAAATACCACACACGCACACACGCATTTTTATTAACGCGTTGACAATTAGTATAAATTGTTGTAAAAAAAAAAAAAAAACCACCCACATTATTTTATTTATCTCTGTTCAGTATTTTTCTTCGTCTTCGTCTTATGCGCCCTAAACATGTCATCGTCGAAAAGACGTAACCGCAGCGAAGGCGTCGGTGGCTGTGGTAGCCCATTAGGAGGGTAGTAAGTGTATGTGTGCGTGTGCGTGCACGATGGACGACCGTTGGCGCCTGCATAATGGAATCCCAACGCGGACGAGTAATATTCCTTTTGTGCTGTTGCGACGCGCGTTTTAGTTTTTTCCTACGCGTTATATATTTATAGTGTACCTACACGTGTTTTATATCGGCCGACAAAATCTAGACGTTGAATCGCTGCGCACACGCGAAATAGAAGGGAGAGAGAGTAAGGAGAGCCGTTACCCTACTCGCCTTAAATTATTATATTTCTTTTCACACCCTCCTCCGTTCGCAATAATGTTCCGGGGACCCGGTGTGCGACAAGTGATGGACGTAACGGGATACACACACAAATACACACACGTTTGTGGGCGTAGAGCACATTTTTTACACATGTATTTTTTTTTCTTATGATTGCTCATTCTCTTTCTTTCTTTTTTTTTATACACGTATACCTTTTATTTGCGTGTACATTGCACTACTGCTGTGTGGGCACATCGTCGAACTGTCAAATATAGTATACGGTTTGTCTGGTGAATGAATAACGCACTATTCGCATTCCATCAATCTAAATCATATTGTTCATCCGAAAGAAACGGAGAAATAATATTTTATCTGACCCGGTACATTTCAGTCTATTTTAACTGTTTGGTCGCAGTATCGTTAAGAGAGGACTTCTTAATTTTCCAATTCCATTAACAATAAATAATCGTAGTTGTGATAACTCCTCATTATGTAGTTTTATGTCCTTAAGATCCCCTCAATACGAAAACCATTTTAAAATGTAGTACATAATAAGAATAATTATTATGTATAGGGATATATTTATTATTTGCGGAATAACAGTGTGCGATTTTTGATTTTACTGCAAAACAGTTATAACTGTATTAAAAAAGCCATTTTATCAGAAATACAGAGCAAACTAGTCCAGCTTATCGAGAGAAAAATACATCTGTGTTTCGTTGTCGGTTTAATCAAATCAATTATTTCTAGTTATCAACTATAGTTTCGTAGTTATCAACTATAGTTCAAACACCTTAATACTTTTGTTATACTATGCAATCTTCTCTAAATCGTCACTGTCCAATAACACGTATCTTCATATTGATCGTATTGATTTATCGTATTGATTATGTTTTGAAGCCTCGAAAACCAAAAATAATGTTCTACGACATTTGATGATAGTTATTTTAAATATTCTTCATTGTAGTTATAATAGAATACGTCGAAATACAATTTTTATTTTTATGAAAGCATGCGTCCAAGTATTTAAGCGAAAACACTTAAACATCATTTATTTCTTATTTATAATTAATCTGCAAAGGTTTCGCACGTTTTACAAATATTTTGAAAACTTTTGTTCCGCGCGTTTCACAATAATTTGGAAAATTCATTTTATATTAAAACGGAGCGCAAAATTAAATTGTACTCTTACAATGCTCGCACACAATGCGGAAAGGAATTTGAAATATCTTTCTTTTAAATTATTATTTTTAATATTAATAACCCATATATACCTGTTAGCGGGGGTGCAGCGGTCGTAGCGGCCCGTGTCGTCGGTTACCAATGGCAACGCAGGCGCATTCTGTTGATGATCAATTATGAAACAAAAATTAACATTGTTGCGACGATCCGTTTGCGCTGACAATGGGTCAACCGTGTGTGTGTGCGTCGCAGTATTATTGTTCACGTAGCCAAAGACGCCCGCGGGAAGGAGGGAGAATTTCGCTTGCGTTTAATATCGCAGTTCTGCGACATTGTTACGAATCCAGGGGATCGGCCGCGGTCGAGAGGGTGCAAACGGCAGCGGTGCATTGTTCTTCTGGGTTCTTTAAATAAACATACGCGCACGCACACACGGATGCGATACACGGTGTAGGCATGCGAGTATAATGGTGACTCAGTGGTAAACCCTTCCAACCGATCGGCCTTGGTGCGGGGGTGGACGATAAAAAAATATCTCCTCACCCCTAAAAACAAAACGCGGATACCGACGGTATGCATCGACACGGCTGTTGCAACACGCCGCCCCCGCGCGACATGATGCGTATAAGGACGCGAGGGCGACGGTCGTAGCGCGTTGGCGACTATGATTACACGGATCACCCGGGTTTAATTTATAGTCTGGCTTTACAATTATTGCTTGCTACTGCTGCAGGGGAGCGTCTCCGGGTGACGTCACTTTTACGTACGTGTTGTGTTACGCATACGGTTTTGGGAGCAGGGGCGAAATGCGTAAGGCGAAAAAATTTTAAGTGTCGTTTTGGGAAATCTATCATTATGTTAGGGAAAAAAGCATGGGAAAAAAATTACCCGAATTACATTTTGAACATGAAGTGCAAAAACTTCTCGAACGTGCACAGTACACACCGATTGCAATTGATTTTGTTGAATCATCATGCTGACGGACGTGGACACGTGCACCACGTGCAGTATTCCAAAATATATAAAAATTCGATTATTTTCGAATGAATAATTTTCTGTTTGACACATATCTGTTCAATTATGAATACTTACGTGTAAAAACTGTATTTTCTATGAAAAAATGTAGCTAATAAAAATTACAGAACAAACTAAAACTATAACCAACTATAAATAAGTATAAATTAATAATTTGGTTTTCTGATTAGGATATAAATTCATAATTAGAAATTATAATTAGAAAATAAACGAAATTTTAGAATCTAAGTGATAGACTAGGAATGTATTGTTTTAATTGAGAATAAATATTCTAATCTTGAAAATTAAAAATACGTAATTTTAATTCTTCAGAACATCGAACATCTACGTATAGTATTCATTTTATCAGGAATTATCTACTAATTTTTATTGTTCAAAATCATTATAGTTAGTAACGTAGCTACATAAATAATTTAAATTTGGATCATAGTGCATTTTTAGAAGTTCACCATCACTATTATCAGTCACTTTATCCTTATTGAATTTTATTTTGATGATTATAGACTTCAAAGATGAAGTTGTTATACAAAACTAATAATTCCATCATTTAATTTTTACTTCTCAACTATTTTTATATGAGCACTCGTATTGATAAATATTACGTATTTGGTATCGTTATCATCATTAATTTTATTTCGTTTTTAGAATTCAATCATTTATTATTATTTTTAAATTAAAAGCTTCCGTCATAATGATTCACACAACTCTTTTATCTCCCTCAAAGCTTGTATGCGTTTAGCTTTTTCCATTATTTATCATTAAATAATCTGCAAGTAATATAATGTATATTTGTATAGTTTAAGGATTATATCGGTTTATTATTAAAGATAATCAATTAGTTCTCAGAACTCCAAAATATTCAAATCAAAATATTTTCATCGTCAAAAATGAATATTTTTAGTCAATTTAATCATTTGTTTTCATTGATAAAATGTGTTACTTTTTTTTTATTGATAATGACTGCCTCACCATCAGAGCCATTGGCTACAAGAAATTTAACATACTTATAATGTTACTTTACTAATAATCGAAATAAACACTGCATAACATTTTATATTATCTTTTATGTAAATTTAAAATACCTTAGGTACGTTTTAATAAGTATTCAAAATTATTCTAACCTTTTATTTTAAGACTCAGTTACATGGATTAGATTTGAATTTTTTTTTTAATTGTACCTAATAGCTTTTACAATCTTAATACAAATAAAATACAATATGCTTACTAAAAATAAATAAATAAATACTTGAATATTAGCGAGTTTAAAAGTAGTATCCTGTAGTGATGGATGCAAAGTTATTACATTTAAATAATATTTTATAAATTCGTAATTGTTATAAA